AAAAAAAAAAAAAAAAAAAAAAAAAAAAAAAAGAGGAAGACAATATAAAGCTATATATTAGTGAGTTTCCATATAGCAATTTCCATTTTTATAGTTATTTCATGCTTAAAACTTCATTTTTACTTTCACCAGCAGCACATTTCTGCAGTATAACCCCTCACTAAGTGTAATTAAAATATCAATGTGTTGAACTAAAGTTTGTTATTCCCTTAGTCAGCAATTCTTATTTTATGCTGGCTGCACGATAGTTAATTTAATATCCAGATGCAATATCCAAAAGTAGATTCTATGCATTTCCTCATAAAACAGACATGAAATGAAAAAGACACTGCAAGCTGCCATGCTACTTGAAGTCAGATCTTTACAGGAGCTATACTTTGCTGTTCTGTGATTGTATCCACCTACGTAAGATACAAGTAGTTAAAGACAGAACATTTCATTTGTTAAATGATGAATTTTCCATTTATTAAATGACAAACTTTTGCTAGACATTTTACGTATTAAATATTTTGACTACATGGATTAATTTAAGTGATTCTATTAGGCATTCTGATATTTAACAACTGTTAAAATATTTATAGAAAATGAAAGCAAATTGGTATAAATTTTTAAGCAACTCTATTTTTGTAGAAAAAGATTAGTGACAACCTGTAACTATAAAGATGTTCTCAGAACGTGTAGTACTCTAGAAAATAAAAATTCTTACAAAATTTTGAAAATGAATGAAAATCAACTAAATAACATGCAAGATCTTAGACTCTGCATTAGATATTTTATTTGGGAGAATTTAGAAATTATGAGCTTTAGTTTATAGCGTCTGCATTATTGTGCCTAAAATCTTTTTAATGAATATTATTTGCATTTATTTAAAACAATATGGAGTTATATCTGAATGCAAAGAAATGAACTCCTGCTTAAATTGTCTTGATACATCATAGTAAGTTGAAATGTAATTTTTATTCCAACTGTTCGTTTTGGTATTTCATGGATTAGCCCTATGTTAAGAGAAATAATGTCTTCACCATTCCTAAGAGTGACTGATATACTGTGGATGACCCAGTGCTGTTGTAAAGGACTAGTTTTAGAAACTACCTAGTTTATAGGTGTTTGAATCAAATTCTTTTCTAAATTTTAATAACCTATTTGACTCAAATCAAAATTTTGCTAAAAGTATCTGTTTTTAAATTGTATGCTTTCTCTGAGGTGCATTGGGCATTTGGAGAATGGTTCTTCCCTTTACTGTTGGTTACACCAGTTGTTATCATGTATTTAGAAATATTCTTCTCATGGGGATATACAGGGGGAAAATGTGTTGTAATATTCATGTTTGTTCTGCTTCATTTTTAAGGAAAATAAACATGTTCCAAAAGACACTATTAAAATAAGTGTTTGAACAAATTTCAGTTTCTAGGTTACTCTTCACTCCAAACATGTAAATATACATTTGAATTGGCTTTAAGTGGTTTAATCTGTTGGATGAAATTGAAAAGTCCATGTCATTGTTGACATCATCAATTATACTTCATAGAAGACTATGTATTTATGTGTTTTGGACTCTATAAGAAGCAAACTGGGGCTTCCCTGGTGGCGCAGTGTTTGAGAGTCCGCCTGCCGATGCAGGGGACGCAGGTTCGTGCCCCGGTTTGGGAAGATCCCACATGCCGCGGAACGGCTGGGCCCGTGAGCTGTGGCCGCTGAGCCTGTGCGTCCGGAGCCTGTGCTCCGCAACGGGAGAGGCCACAACAGTGAGAGGCCCGCGTACGACAAAAAAAAAATTTTTTAATTAAAAAATAAAAGAAGAAGAATCAAAGGAAAGTACTCTTGGAAATTAAAAATATGTCTCAACAGTTACAAACCAGCGCAGCAGCGAGACCCCTCCTGTGCTGAGAGGCCTGGGGCACACACACACCTTCCCAGCCTTAACCACAGCTGGTTGACAATAGACACAGTAAACCTACTGAAAGTGAATTCTGACTTGAAAAACACGTGTGATATGTGTGAGAACAAGGAAAAGCCAGCAGGACCTGGGGTTGCAGGAGACAGCATGACTGATTTGCCCTTAAGAGCCATTATGCTCCTCCTTCAATCCAGAAGTTTTCTCTCTGAATCCCTTGAGCCTTCCATCTCTTCCTCCTAATACCCTAAAGACTTCATCAGCACCTTCCTCCTTTATACTAACACCTTTCTATGTCAACTTTTGAGACCTCCCCATACCTGTAAGCTTGCCGGTCTATTGTGGCAAATTTAAAAGCTCACAAGTACGTTCTTTCATTGAAAAAAAAAACCCCAAAAAACATTGCAGTAAGTTTCAGTAGTGAACAGACAAGCCATAATTTATTAAGAGGCTATAGGAAGCCACTTAACATTTAATAATACTTATTTACAACACCAAGCAAAGCTTATAATGTTATGGTTTTATTGAGAAACATCCGTAGTCTCTTTCTTAAACTGGCTTAGCAATAAGAGCTTTATAACATGTTTCAGCTGGGGATTCATTGCAAGCATGTAAATTATCTAAATGTTCTTCCTCAGACCTTCTGACCGGCAGAGGAGGAACCGAGGTAGCTCTGTGTTATGAAGAGGGTGTGCTGGCCTGTGGCAGCATTACTGAGTCCTACTCTTTAATCAAGCAAACTTAGTTATGGTCCTGTTTCTTTTCAAAACAAGCTTATAGCGAATGGATTACTCAGGGTGTTTTCTAAAGTACAATACCCAAGGATTTGAGCCCTGTCCCTTTTTAGCCCAGACCTCTTAACTATCTCTGTTAGCTTTGATAAGGTCATACCTTTCTTTGGAAGATATTTTGGGTGGCAGTGAAGCTAAAGATTGGTTTGTTTGCATTGAAAATGTTTACACTGATTCCCTGTAAGCAGTAGACAGTTTTGAAATCAGGCCCGATATTTAAGACCAAAAAAAAAAAAAAAAAAGAAATTTCTAAATCTCAAAGATCTAAATACCTCTGGCTGAAAACTCGTTAATTATTATCTGTATGTTTTTTCCTTTATATCTTTATGTAATTCTTTCTGTAATTAAGTGTGCATTAAGGTGTTTGCTACTTGGTTAATG